GTGTAGAGTCGGTCCTTCTGATTTCTTTTTTTACTTTAACAGATTCATGTGTAGATGAACGTGCATTAATGCGCGCAACGGACACTGCATCATGCAATAATATTATTATTCAAACTATCAAACGCTCTCGATGTGATAACTCTTTTTAATTATGGGTAAGTTTGCAGCAGCTGTGAACCATTTCATGAAAAGCATAATTGTGGATAAACGTTTTAGAGGATTCTACGGAAGCACAAAAATGGCAACAACATCTGTCCCTCCTGCGAGAGCAATATGTCAATTTGTACAATGCAAACTTAGAATTGCAAAAGGAGTACGCTATCGCTACAGCTGAGAAGCAAGAAAGTGGATTTATCAATAGACTTCTGGCAACTATAGCATCTTTATATTGTCAACATCATTACAGGTATTCTATATATAACTTGAAACTCTCTTTGTATGTTTTTATAATATAATGTAGAACTATATATAAAAAAAATATTATTCTTAAAATATATATCTTTCAGTGATATAAATATAAAATTAATTGATCAAGAAATACCAGCACATAAATTTGTATTGTCTGCCAGGACTGATTTTTTTAATGATGCAGCTCTTATTGAAAAAACTGTTTTAGGTAATTTATTTATGTCTGTTTATTTTATATTTGTGATTATTAATATATCATTATATATATATTGTATAATTCTTTTTAGATTGGAGCAATTTAAATAGCGCTGTAGCATTAGTATTGTTAAAATGGATTTATACAGGCAAAGTATCTCAAGAACATCTAACATTGGACTTAATGAAAGCAGCAGCTGGCTTTCAATTGTCAGAAATGGTAGATCAATGTGAAAGATATCTGATTGGGACAGTGGGATTAAAAGATTGTGTAGTATTGTATGCAGCAGCTGAGGAATTGGGTACTTCAAAGTTAAAGGAGCATTGCAGTTCCTTAATTTCAGCACATTGGGTAAAATTATAATATTTCAATTCTAATAACATTATTATCTGTATTATATCTAAAATATTTATATAACTTACAGGAAGATTTAAGAGGCGAAGATTTCAAAGAGATGCCAGGTTCTTTGCTATACAAGTTATTGCAAACTAAGAGTAAATATCCTTTACATGCAGCAGTACGCTTGATGCGCGAAGACGTTGTGTTTCTATACTTAGTGGAAAATAACGCTGAGGTGAGTCTCCTTTTCTTCTTTATGATATGATGAGGGGAGTTCTTTTTCTCTTTTTATGGTGAAATTAAAAAGTCTAACGTGATGTAATATGCATTAAAGTAAATTTTATTGAAATAATTAAACTTAAATCTATTGTGATACGCGTGACAATTTATATATTTCATACAATATATTAATATACGAAAATACTGTGCTGTTAACATAGAGGGACTTAATATTATGATATGTTTGTTAGGAGATATATTTTAAATATCCTAATATATGTTATCAATTTACACATTCACAGCTCAAGTTTGAATGTTAAGTACTTGTATGCACAAAGTACACTTTGGTTATAAACATTAAGAATATAAATAATAGCTTTTATTTTTTTCAATACTTTTAGTTTATTATCTTTTGATAATAAACTTGAATTGAATAATGAACTTTTAATAAGCTTGAAAATATAGTTACTAGTAATTTGAACTGTTTGATCACTTAGAAATTCCGAGCATTAATAGAGGTAATGATGATTAGCTCCATATTAGAGCTATTATTAATCGACAATTCCGAATTTGATCGCGATCAATCACCCTATATTAATTAAGACTTTTGGTCTCTCATTATATTCAATCATGACATCAAAAACAAGAAATCATATAAATTTTTTTATGGAAAATACATTTTGAAATAAATTTAGATTTTTCAAGTTATTATTCACACTCGGTAATATAAATTGATAAAATATATACAAGACAATTTTTATTTATTTGTGGATTAATAAATAGCTAGTAAATTTTGGTCAGTTGTCATAACTGTCTGCTGTCAAAGTGGTGATATATGAGAAAACTTATTAATTTTGGTATCTTATTAGAAAACAATTTATATGATTTCTCGCTTCTAATATCATAATTCAATGTGACTATAGTGAGGGAACAAGAGCTTTAAAAAGTTTGATGGGATTACCTGTAACAAGGCACAATAGGCGTATCTTTTGCTCTCCCAAGATATATATATAATAATTATAGTGAACTCTAATTTCATTAATAATTGCAGACATAAAATTTATATAAAAAAGCTTGGCATAAAAATAGATTTGTATACTTATATTCATTGTAACATCTTTTATAAATAGAAATGTTTTAGAGATAATTTATTAAAATATAATTGATGTAAATTGCAAATTTAATTTAGGAGAATTATTATCTATAACACAAGATAATTCAAAATTGACTAGCGAAAGAGATTTTTTTTATTTTTGTGTATAATATCGATTATTTTATTCAATTATTCTAATGTTATTCTAATTCATAAATAGAAATATACAAAATCAAATTACTTAACAATTTTTTAAAAATAAATTAGCTATTTATAGCCATTCATATTGAATAGACATCAATATTTTTGTATTTTATGGTACAATATTTGCAATTTGTTGCAAAGGATCTTATTTGCCCTCCCAAAATTATCAGAGAAGACTGCATCTCTCTTTCTCTTATGCATTAAATACATTCTTTTAAGTAACACATTGTGTGCCATGAACTGAAAAATTTTACATCAATCTTACAATCAGCAGAGCTAAGATTGTTCCACATATTTTCTTAAACATTCCTATTTGTGAAGGAGATGAATTGCACAAATGAAAACTACAAAAACAATATTCAGGTGGATCAGTTGGTGCTCCCCTATGTTCACCTATAAAGCAACCTTCGTCATAGGCAGTTGTTATGATCTCTTCCTTTTTATGCCACTGCTTATTAACATCATTGTAAACATGAGAAGTATATTTCTGTGGTGTGCAGTCTCTCTGAACAGTGGTTACTGCAGATGCTAAAAGAAATTTTTCAAATAAACAATTACATTATTATTCAATGATTACTTTATCGATATTGTCAACCTACTTTTAGATTTATATTGAACAGTTCTCTTCATACAAAGTGTTGAAGTTGGACAAAATGTCTGAAATTTGGCACTCCCATCAAAATGGGCACAAAGCAGATCTGTGTCTTCTGGTCTTGTCAGTGTCATGAGACATTTGAAACATGAAATGCCTTCTGCCTGTGCTCGTGAAATATCTATAAATTTTATAATATATTAATCTCGAAGTTTTATTTATTTCTCTCTGATTATAATAATCAAAATATAAAATAAAAGAAATATACATACATGATAAAATACTGATATATAATATCATAATCTGTAGATTTGGCTTGAAATTGCACATTTTATTCACAATATTATTTGTAGTCCTTATTAAAAAATAATTATTTAAATTAACGAGGTATTTGTGTGATTAATTTATTCCAGCAATAATAAAATCTGAAACAATGTTCAAGATTAATTAATGTAAAGTTCTTACTTTTTTCTAAATCTTATAGAAATATTTTATCTCTAATCTTATTAATCTTATACATATTTAGAAAATTTAATTCTCTTTGACTTTTAATTAAGTTTTTATTAAAAATTGTTTTCTAAAATTCATTTGATCTATATGTAATTTGCTACGAAGCACTTTTATTGCCAAAGCAATTTCATGTAAATAATTAAATTTATATCTTATATAAGACATTTTTTTTACGTTTCAAAATAATTACAAGTAATCACTTTTTTTATTTTAGATAGATACCTCTTTGTTTGACGTTTATTAAAAACTCAGATTTCACTATATTGAAAGTCTTGTTTATTTCTGTGCTAAATTTCTAAATCATAATTTTCTGGTCTTATAATTTTCTTAATTAATGAAAATTGATGTATCAACCTCGTCGATACTCTATACATATATATATATATATATATATGTGTGTATATCCTGCTATCAAATACAGTAACATACGATCATGATACTTCTAAGATACACCTATCACAGTATTACACGATTCGCACGCGCCGTGTAACGCATTGTAACGACTTATTTCGCGATACACGATATGATCGTTGCCGTGGAATTTTTCTCCGTCTTTCTCGCGTAGAAACGCATAGAGAGCGACTGGTCGACAGCCGATTACGGTCGGTCGGATGTACCGCCGGCCACGTCATCTGCCTCGAAAGTTTTTTAATACTCTTGCGTCCTCCTCCATGTATATCAGAAAATAATCTCCATACACTTTCTCTATAAACGCTTTTTCACACTGAACCGATGTTGTTCGTGCCATTACAGTGACTCGATCACCACACAGCCACGTGCACGCATACATGCAGGCGCACGCATTACGGTCACCGTACACGCGCTGATAGTCAAATCAGTGGTTCTCAAATCTCAATCTTTTTTACATAAATCTATAATAAAAAGCAAAAGTATCGCATATTTTTTTTATTATTTTTATATTAAGATTATCTATATTTTTCTTTAAAAAATTTTTATTTTTTAATAATATATGATTATTTATATAGCTTCCAAAGGCAGTCAATGCGGTAGATCACAAAGGAGAAACGGCTCTAGAAGTTGCTCTAAAAAGTCGTCAGCCATCTCTAGCTCGCACTTTAGTTGAACATGGAGCAGATCTGAGTGCGAAAGATGCGAGGGGTTTATCTCTCCTTCACTCAGCAATTCTGAAAGGAGACTCCTATTCATCTGAATTTATAATTGAACAATTGGAAAACAACAGCAATGTGCAGAAGTTATGTGAACCTGTAAACATTATCGATGGTGCGAAAAATACAGCTGATCTTAAGCAATTGGAAGGTTGTACTGCCTTACATCTAGTAGCGAAGCATAATACGGAAAGCATGGTAGCAGTTGGATCAAGATTGCTTCAAGCAGGGATCGATCCAAATTTACAAGACCATAGAGGATGGTAAATATATTTCTTTGACTTAAAGTCTCAAGACTTACATTATTCCGAATAATGTAAAAGCTAAATAATTATTCGTAGAATTTGAAATAGGATTTGTAGCCTCTAATTTAATATCAAATATAATTTTATACTTGTTTATATTTACAGGACTGCACTTCATAGCTGTATCTCGGAGAGGAACGATATGCTGTTTGATCTGTTACTTGAGGCAAAGGGTATAGATATAGACGAAACCACAAACGAAGATGATACACCATTGTGTTTCGCGATGAAGACGGATCCCTTCAACGAGTACTTCGCGTCTAAATTGTTAACTAAAGGCGCTTTACCGAATCCGATTTATAACATCACTGGAGATACATTGCTTCATATTTTGACGCGAGAATGTAGAGAAGAGGCAGCACTATTCTTAGTGGATTATTGTAAAAATAACTTAACGAAAACTAACAACGAAGGTTTCACGATATTACATGAAGCATGCAAGGTTGGCTTAAAAGATCTGTCTCGAGCTTTATTAAAGAACGGACTGCCAACCGATGTTGTCACCTTTTCCACCGGTGACACGCCGATTCATTTCGCCATCTCGAATCTATACACAGACATAGTCACTGAATTATTAGATATTTCTGATTCGAGTTCGCAATTAACTATTAAGAATAACGCGAATGAGACGCCTCTGAGCTTAGCTATAAGGGCACCATTCAAAAAAGGCAAAGATATTGTATTGGCTCTGATAAAAGCTGGAGCTAATGTGAATGAACGCAACAAGGAAGGCCTGACTTTGTTGCATCAGGCAATACTAAAGGAAGATTCAGCTACCGCTATATTTCTGCTAGAAAATGGTGCTGATATGAATGCAAAGTGAGTTTATTAAAATCACAAAAATCTATATCTACAATTGCAAGATCGATATTATTAATAAATTCGTATTTTAATATGTGCAGAACAGCCAATGGAGAAACGCCGTTACAACTGTGCGTACATTGTAGACTAAGCGAAGTGGTGGAAACTCTTTGTAGACGAGGTGTGGATCCTTCAATAGGATGCCCGTTATGGGACGCTTTAGACTCGGATCAAGAAGACACCGCGTCAATCTTGGTTAAATACGGAGCGGATACCGATTGTTGGAGTCCTGGTCCCGATGGCTGTCAGCAAACACTGCTACATAGAGCTATCGATGATAACAAGGAGGATATCGCACAGTTTCTGATCAGAAGGTACTGATTTGCGCATTTTTTGCTCAAGGAAAATGAAAAAATTAATTGTAGATTTGCTAGAAATAAGAAAAATTATATTAAAAAATTGTTATCTTATTTTTTTTAATCGTGATTTATATCGCGATAGATACGATTATGATTTAAAATATTGCCATTATTGCATTATTTTGTTTCTTTTTTAAATGATGATTTATATCGCAGCGGATGCGATTTGAATGCTCCGAGACGACCTGGTCTAGATGGTGCTGGTGGAGATGAGGCGAAAGACGAATGTACGCCGTTACATTTGTGTTGTCAATGGGGATTGGAGCAAGTTGTTCAAACGCTCATCGAACATGGAGCCGACGTAAACGCCCGCGACGCGGAGGGAAAGACTCCTGTACATGTAGCGATACAGAATCAGCATTCGCAGATAATCTCTCTTTTGCTGTGTCACCCGAATATAGATCTGAACAAGAGGGATAAGAAAGGACTTACGCCATTCGCGACTGCCCTGACGGTCCGTAACAATAAAGCCGCGCAGGCGATATTAGAGAGATTACCTAAGGCCGCCGAACAATACGACAATAAGGGCAGAAACTTCTTGCATACTGCCATACAGAAGGGTGACATGGAGAGCATTCTGTTTTTATTATCTATACAAGTACTTGAGTTTAATATACATAAATCTTTATAATTATAAAGCATTGGGATGTAAAGAACTGTAATTACAGCATCGCTATTCCTCTTGTCGTAGGTAGATGTAAATTCAAGAATACATGATGTTACACAAACGCCTCCACTGCATCTCGCTGCTATGTCAGGAAACGAGATGTTGGTGCGAAGTTTAATATTAGCGGGTGCTCGTGTTAATGATACTGATGCAAATAGGAACACCGCGCTGCATGTGGCGGCTAAAGCGGGACATGCCACTGTTGTCTCCGCGCTATTGCAAGTAAGACAAAATATTTAACGCAAAGAATTCGTGTTGTATACCGAAACTGATAGTGTATCTAATTTAACATATGTTAAATTATCAATTGTTTGTTTTATAGAACAATATTAACTTCGACGCGGTGAATGCGGATGGTGACAACGCGTTGCATGTAGCTGTAAGAGAAGGTCATGTATCAGTGGTACGGACGTTATTGACCGAATGTACGCTGGATGCGGAGGCTGTGAATCTCAAAGGCCGTAATCCTCTACACGAGTTAGCCAGATGCGCTAGGGACAATGCTGCAACGATATGCGATCTATTTTTAGAATGCATGTCGCAATATCCCGTCAATAACGCAGGTATAAAGAATATGTAATAAATTTTCTCTCTCTTAAAAAGACTAAAATTATTCTGAAAGAAAAACATTATAATTTCTTAAGATTAAATGCATATATTATACAAAGCGTGTATGTCCTACGAAGTCTTTATTTCAGACTTAGATGGAAACACACCGTTGTTGATTGCATACATGAAGGGAAATGGCAATCTTTGCAGAACATTGGTAAAAGCCGGAGCATGCTTAGGTTCGATGAATAAAGATGGAATTACGATCTTCAATTATCAAGTAGCAACGAAACAGTTATTATACAGATTATTAGACTCTCTAACGCAAGAAGCGCCGTGGTCTGACAAAGATTGCTGCTTAGAATGCGGAACGAAATTCTCTCTTACAATGCGCAAGCATCATTGGTATGAATGATTTGTATATTCTAATGACAGTAATTGAATATATCAATCTTAGAGTGGCACAATTTTTATTGTATTCTTTCCTTTTTTTTAGTCGGCACTGTGGACGTATTTTATGCAGCAAATGTTCGGGTCAGGATGTACCAATTTTGAAATTTGGTTTAAACAAGCCGGTACGTGTATGCAACATATGTTTTGATGTATTGCTGGGTACCGGCTCTCTTCAACCATCATAATTAAGAGTTTATACATAAAAATTGATAGATCATTCTCCGATGTTTTTTATATGAAAAGAAAAAGCAGATATATATGAACTGAATCGAAAGTCTGTGCATAATTATATGTCATTGATATTTTATGTATCCTATTGTATACACATTGTTCATGTTAAGATTTGTTAAAATTAGCTCATAGAATTGAAATACAGATGATGAAGAGGCTATATGTCGATATAATTTTTATCTCTAATAATTTAATCTTTTTATTGCTAGCATTTCATTATATATATACAATGTTGAGAAATTAAGCTTTAACATTGCGAACAACAATTGGATCTTTATAGGAATATCATACAATTACTTAAGTTTACTAAACAGAGTTTTTGCGACGCAATGATCTACACATTGCACGTAATCAAGAAGTTCCTCTAAACAAGTTTCTTCTGTATTGGATCTTGAATTAACACGATTATTGCATGTGGTCAATTTCTCTTGAAAATTGCTGCATTTTACTTCTTGAGAGCATTGCTCCTACGATAAGAAAAATTATTAGAATAAAAGTAATGCTGGATTATTATAAACATATTAAATATTAATTCCTAATTTATTAGTAATGATAAAGTTATTAGTAACTGTAATAACTGATTATAATAATTCCAATTTATTGGTTAATATGACATATTTTATATTTTCACATATATATAAATATACATTGAAAATATATATCGAAGAAATCAATACATTTATATAAACTCCGGTTATAATCAGTGATTAATTTATCAAATAATATTTGCAGTATTCTGTGAATATAGTTAGAATAATCATTTCTTGTTTAACATAGAAAAGAGAGATAAATTATATAATTAGATTTTTTTACTAGGCGATCTCTTGTCAAATTAAGTTAATTGAAGTTTGTGAAGAGATCTTAATGACTTAAACTTTAACGAGTACGTCTTTACTCCGAAAAGTTAGTGATGCATTTGCATTCCCATTCAAAAACAATATTATGTAATAATTGTATTACTTACACGAAGTACTTTTTGCGGATCTACCAATTCTTCTTCTTCTCCCTCGTCGGCCTTCACTACCGGCAAGTAACGTTTGAAAAAATCCTGTATGACTGGCATTTCTCTAATTAGAAATTCCTGTATTAGAGATCGATTAGCCTAAAGTTATCTTTCGGTAAAAGCTCCGCGAGATAACCACCAATGGCTGCGTTCGAAAATCTTACCCTGGGTAAAACAGTTATTCCATGGCCGTTCAGAAATTAACCATCGGTTAAAGTTACCTCGCCAGGTGCGTTCAAAAATGACGATGAGTAAAACCCGTATCAGCTACGCATTGAAGATTGAAATTGAATATTCAAGATTGAAATTTGAACAATCAGGATAAAGAAATTTTAGTTTTTCATTAACTTTTTGCTTTGATTTAGCTTTTGTTTTGATAGTCAAATTCCAATCTTCAATTTTCAATGCGTAGTCTGATGCGGGCTTCAAAAATTGATCAATCACATCAAATGTGAATAATCAATTGTTACTACACCTATGCGGCCTAATTCTACTTCATGCGCTTAGTAGGATTTCCAAACGTAGTCATAAATGACCATAAGATCTAGAATTTTAAAAAAAGTACATGAGAACAATCACATATCGCGATTTATCCGAATCGATTGAGCGCCTCTTATGTTGCGTCGACCAATCAAAATAAAGAAATCTTTGCTCCTTTTATCCTGATTGGTAAATCAAACTCTGACGATAGATTTTTGAACGCAACTCTGCATATAAAACACTGAAATAAACTCTGGCGGACAATTAACAACCTCTTGCTTTTCCACAAATAATAATAAAAAAAAAAACCATAAGATCTAGAATTTTAAAAAAAGTACATGAGAACAATCACATATCGCGATTTATCCGAATCGATTGAGCGCCTCTTATGTTGCGTCGACCAATCAAAATAAAGAAATCTTTGCTCCTTTTATCCTGATTGGTAAATCAAACTCTGACGATAGATTTTTGAACGCAACTCTGCATATAAAAAAATAAAATAAACTCTGGCGGACAATTAACAACCTCTTGCTTTTCCACAAATAATATCAAAAAAAAAAAAAAAAAAAAAAAAAAAAAAAAAAAAAGAGAGAGAGAGAGAGAGAAAAGAGAGAGAAAAAAAGGATATACTTCTCGAACAATAAGACAAAGAGATGAAAGAGAAAATTTATGTGCGCATATCGCATTTACAAATACAAAATCGCGCGCTATTTCGAAAAAAAGTGCACTTATTTTTCCCCCACACCATACGATTTTTCATGGTAATCGTGCAACTTCCGAGCTTTATCTTTTGGAACTCGAGTCAATACAACGTCACGAGCATATTTCTCTCATCGTCAGCAATATGTACACTTCGTCCGGTTTTACATCATAGTTAATCATATTACAGACATTGCATACATTGGCACAATGTCAGCGTTTCCGCGAAATTTTGTCGAATATTTTTGCGCGTTCATGGAAGAAGGAAAACTAGAGGCCCGTGACTCATTTGTTTTCCGACGATGCCAGGTCCAGAGACTAAAGGATTTTTATCCGCGAGATACACGAGGCCTTGACACTTGACACCAAACCTCGCTTGAGAATTTATGATAAGCGAAAAAAAAAGAGATCTCGTCAGTCCTCAGAATAATCAAGATTGCGGCTGGTTGTCTGACGAAATTCACGTATCCATGAAATGGTATTTTTCTGTCAATTGCTTCGGCAATGGCGTCATCCGCAAAGTTACCATCCGAATTAGTTCGCCGCGGAATACGAAATCACATTTGACATCGCGAGGCAGGCACGTGGACATAGTCGCGTGTTGACCATTAGAGATATATATATATATATACACAATCTTAAAAAAGGCTAAACAAATCGAAACGTTTAACAATAATTATAATTAGAAAGAAAGATTAAAAGAGAAAGAACGATTGAGTTTGGAAAAATAAAGGAATAATCCTCCGCGATGTAATAGAATCGCACAGAAGACGTGCTCACATAAAACATACCGTTCGTCTTGAACTGCCGCGCAATTATCTGTTACATTCGCCTTTTCGCAAATTTATACAGCGTAGGGGAATGCGCAAAGTGCAGCTCGCGTGCGTGAACACGCTCACAGGTGCGTTTACTCGTGCTCGTCAGCCGAGAGCATCGTGCGTGTCGTCGAGCGCGCACGCGAGGCGACAGCGGGAGACTTGTCGGCGCGTTTCTTGCCGCGGAACTGTCAATGGTTCCGACGAGAACGGTCGAGAGAGGATCGGTTCGATAACTAAACAAGGACGCTGTCTCGCTCGCACACTATCGCTGGACATTACAAAAGTTACATGCTCTTGTAGAAAAAAAAACCGCAACGTAACTGGATAAGGGTCTAAAGGTTCTAGTGGAAGACAGAGGAAGAAAGAGAGAGAGAGAGAGAGAGAGAGGGCAAGAGTGAGAAGGAGTGGCAGGGAGAAAGGAAGACAGAGAGGCAAAGAGGAGTAACGAAAGAGTGAGATTCCCTCGCTAGTTCGACGTAGCTCGCGATCGAGAGATGGACGCTTTAAACGGAGGATTCTACTAGACGAGAGACGTTTTCAATGGGTCATCGTCACGACGGTAACTTAGTTTAAAAAAAAAAAATAAATAAAAAAAATCGAGAAGCGCTTTTGAGGTTATGTGTTGTTGAGAAAACGACGTACTCTTCACTGTCGCGTGATAAAACGACCGTACGAGCGAAACCGGAGGGACTGCATCGTAAGTTTGTGATTGAGATGCGCTTTCGAATCTGATTAAAGATGCTGTATTGATAACGCCACTCGGGGATCATATCGATCCACTAGTGAACTGCTTTGCATCTTCTCGACGAGAGAATGCATTTTTGTGCAACAATCTACGAAGTTGTCGAAGTTCCGCGCGATTGTTTTCTTTAATGTAAATTATACGCGTACAGTGAGAAACGGAGAAAAAGAGAAAGAAATCACTAAGAATGCTCGTTGACGGTCTGTAAAATTTGTCACCACTAGTAATAACGTGATAATTTTTGTGGTTATTGAATACTCCGATCGTTTAATCACGCTGTATTGTTGATATAATCAAAGTATATCGAACATTTAATATTTTAACAACGAATTCGCTATTTTTGTAACTAAAGTTAATTATTTTTAAGTGACACACGAGAAATAGTGATGTGCAAAAATTGTGTTACACTGATTTGCAATTCATTATGAAAATGTATGTAATTTGTTTATGTGTTGATAATCACAGTTTAATCCTTTCTCAAAGGATGTGAATAAACTTTGAGTCGCATAAACTAACTTACATTTATCATAATATTGATATTGTTTAAAATTTGGTTAAACGTTTGCGACAGAAGTTTACATGAATGGATGATGCTTGGAGGCAATGAACGGCATGGAGAGACATGGTCATGGACATGGACATTCACATGCGCATTCGCATCGTCATCGCCATTCCCATGGCACTTCTCAGAGCACGTCGCAAAACTCGAGTCAACCGCCTTCGAAACATAGCCACGGTCACGTAATACACTCACAGAAAGATACAGCTGTGCCACAAGTGACTCAAAAACAGAGGAATTACAAGTTACTGGTCGATCCGTTTTTAGTTAAAGGTGCAACAAAACTATGTAGATACGATGGAACTGTTCCAGGAGATCCGACATATCCGCAGGTTCAACCTCGAGATCCCAGATCGCAATTGACAAGAATCTGGACTAGACTTGAACAACTCGATCTACCTGTACCTAGATTTAAAATTGACTCAAATTATTGCGGAGAGCCGCCTCCGCTTGAAGTAACGTTTTGCCATTTAAATGATAATATCGATAAGACATTTTTAACAAACATGGTTCAGAAATTTGGATCCATAGAGGAACTTCTTATTTATTATCATCCAGTAACTAATAAACACCTTGGTATAGCGAGAGTAGTGTTTGAATCAACTAAGGCATCAAAGGCATGTGTGGAAAAATTAAATAATACATCTGTGATGGGAAAAGTGTTGAGGGTTTTTTTGGATCCCTTTGGGGAAGAGTGCAAGAAGATGTTTGAGGAGTTAACGACGGAGAAAAAACCGGAGAAGAAGGTAGAAAAAGAGGTGGTGAAGCCCGAGATTGAGCAAGAAAAACATCAAACACCAGTGGAAAAGGTTTTACCCGAGGAGAGGGAAGACTTTAGAAGTAGTAAAAAAGCTATTCTAACTGTAGACAAGAACAGAGAGCCATATGTAGAAAATTCGAGGTATAATAAATATAGGGATTATCCTACACCAAGTGGCAGCACGGGTAGTGACTTGGGTTATGGAACAGCGCCGAGCGAACTGAATTATTCTAGTAATTATTCTCAAAACTCTACTCCTGCCACAAATTATGATTTTTATTACGGCAATTATCATCATCAACCTCCAAGTAGCTACCTAGCTAGTATACCGCAAAATGTATCGCAGAATATACCAGTCCAACAAAATTCAAATGTCTGGTGGAGTAACAACTCTGCGACAGCGGGGTATACACCTTCAGCATCCGGTTGGCCAATTCAACAGCACGCGACTAATTTGGACAGTGCTAGTTCTAACATAACACAGATTAGTAATAAGACTTCCAATGCAAAACTGCATCATACTCCTAAAAAGGAAAAGGAGAATCAGGTTATGACGAAAAGTGCATCGCGTGATTCTCCTGACGAAGCTCGCAAGACGTTAGATTTAGATACAAGAATTGCTATGTTACTAAAGGACAAAGCGGGTGGAATGGCACCCCCATTTTTACAATTTGGCAGCGACTCAGAAGATGACAAAAAGTCTCTACAAGACGACAATGAAATGTTATCGGAGCCACCCAGTCCCTTTTTATCACACGAAATTTATAAGCAATGTTTCGAGAAAATGGTAGAAAGAAATAAAGAACGAAGAAAAGTTCATGAGAATAGCATCAGTCAGTTTTCCGTGGATGAAGATTTGGGTAGTGTTATAAGTTCCAGTGAAGACGAGGCGTTATTAGGAAGTTATAGTCCAGCACCTGACGACAATGAACCTGAACCACCTAAAGAACCACCTCCACCTCCACCACCTGATGACGACAGAATGTCTCTGAGTCCTTTGAGTTCAGGAGATGAAAAGATTGAAGAAGTGGGTTTATTTATATATTACATTAATTATATATGTACGCATACATTATTTTATACAAAAATATCTTTTTAATATATAGGTAATAGCACAAACTGAACCTTCGAGTCAACTGTATCCAGCAGCTGGTTATCCAGGAAATTTAACTCACTATCCCTCTAATGATGTTTACAATTGGCCGCGACCGGCGCAGTATCCTTATCCTTATGGAGCAACCTACTTGCAGAGCCATTATCAACCTACTACAGCGTCTTTCTCGGGAACAGTCGGAAATCAAGGGGCAAATTATTATTCCTCTTTTCAATCGCGGTTGCATGCTATAGCAAACTATAGCATCACAAAAGATCCACAGGCAAGATTATTACATTGCATTGATATAAGATTGAATCTGTAAATTTCGTATTTTTTTTTATATAAAAGCATGTTTCGGTTAGAAAATATTTAAAATATTTCTGTTTAGGGTCCTACCATCAATGGAGTACTGAGCAGAGTAGTGAATGAATTGAAGCAAATTCTAAAAAAAGACTTTAATAAAAAGATGATAGAAAATACAGCATTCAAATTATTCGAGGTTTGGTGGGATGAAAAGAAGTCGGAGAAGAGCCAAACTCATGATAGTGGCGAGAATGCTATCGTCAATAACACGACGAAAGAAGACGTAAAATCCCAAGGATTATCATCTTTATTAGAGCAAGCAACACCGTTAGGACTCAATTATGATGGATTTGGTTTGGGTATTAGAGCTAGCATGCCAAAGATGCCTTCATTCAGGGTAAGATGATTTCATATTGTTTTTATATTTTATTTTCTCCAACAACATCGATTGTTACATATCTGTTCGTTATTTCTTTTTATCTGCAGCGTAAGATCAAAGCTCCAAGTCCATTACCGCAGGATGAGGATAGCCGACAATCGGGTCATGCTGATATGGAAACGATCGAAAGCGATAGCGATCTGGATGTACCACCGGCACAAAAAACGAAGAAAGCGATGATCTCTCTTCCGAGCGTCTCTTCCTCGACATCGTCTTCGTCTTCGTCTCTTGAAAGCAGTAGTGAAGAAATCAGTTCTAGTGAATCTTCCGATAGTTCAAATGAAAGTTCTGATGAAGAAGCTTGCTTTGAGGATGCGGTATGTATAATAAGCGAAGATTTAAAAAGATAACAGTTATATCAATTAAAATTGGTTTATTTTTTTTAGCAAGATACAGACAGCCGCATGTCTGATCACAGGCCATTGGCTTGTAATAGTGAGGATCCTGATATATTGATGGAATTTGCGATCCAAAAATCATTAGATTGCCCCACGCCGACTGGTAGAGAAACTCCGGTACCAGATATCAAAATTATAGATCAAAATTCAAACGATTTCCCACAAATCGATAATGATAATCTGATTAGCTCATTATCTTCTCCTGTGAAATACGAGAGCGTCAAAGAAGAAGAAAGAATTTCTGAGAAATTGCCTACCACGGAAGAAAAGCCATTCGTTGATGTGTGCGAAACTTTGGATAAGGAAACGAAGGATGCACTGAAAATCACCGAAGAGAAAGAATCACTGGTTGAAGCAAAACCTGCACCGACGATAACGCCGGTAAAGGAAGAAGTACTACCGGATATACAAAAAATGGAAAACTCGGCTGCGGAAGCCTTGATGACTTTAGCTGGACGAGATAATATCATACGTCATAGGAGTCCGGGCCCTATACAACCTAATATTATCAGAGCATTGCAGACGATGTCGACGAAATACATCAATGACGAACCTATTTTGAAGGAAAACGAAAAGATCGAGATGTTCAGCGAGATCCCCACAACGGATTCGGAGGAAGAAAGCTTAGAAATCAGAAGATTAAGGTTAGCAACCAGTTTAACATAAATTTTTAAATAATAATTTTTTCTTGTGTACATAATATAATATGATGCATATATACTAAGATTATCGTTCTGTAATAACGACGAAATATTGCAATATTTTATATAGGTATCAAGCAGAGACGGATCTTCGATTAAACGGGCAGCAAACACCAAGTTCGCCTGGTTCTCAGGCTTCGCAAGTATATATGGAACATTCGTATTCGTTGCCACCTGCGCAACCGGAGCCCGTAGAGTCGGTGATACGCGTACCGCCAGCCTCGGTGAAAGTAAAACATCCGAAGATCGTCAAATTATCGAAATCAAAGGACAAGATTCATAAAGTGGATAAACAAAAATCCAAGAAATATACAAAAGTGCACAGTAGTCATCAGAATCACGAAGGAGAAAAGGAGAATATCCAGAATGATTATATATACGATAAGTTACCTAAACAAATTGTGGAATCGAAAGTCACGTACAAAGAGCGAGACCTTATATCGGAAATGGCTATTTTGTACGAATTTTTAACAAGAGGTATAGACGCGGAGGATGCGGAATACTTGAGAAGGAGTTACGAGGCTTTATTAGCGGATGATACCCAAGGTTATTGGTTGAATGATACGCATTGGGTCGATCATCCGCCGACGGATATACCAAGTCCCGCGAAAAAGAGGAAACGAGACGAGCTCCGATTACATGCGAGTGGAAGTGCTAGAACGGAAGGATATTACAAAGTCGATATTAGAGAGAAGGCTAAACACAAAGTAAAAAATTAAATATATTTGATATATACAATATATATTCTCTTTAACAAAATGAACATTTTTTTTTAAATTTGAAGTTTTGACACATATTTCGATATATAATATTGTTTTATATTATAGAGTTTTTATATTTATAGGAATTATATGAATAATCAAATTTATGTAGAGTAATCGATTTGTTCTTGCAGCACCATTATGCTCAAAGTATACAACGCAGTAATGATGTGGAAGACAGTACCAGTTCTTATATTGGAGGAGATAGTGTAATGAACGGTCCAAAGAATAATTCTAAAGCATTGACCGGTAAAATGCAGGCGCTTTCACGCGAGGCAAGAAGTAATCAACGACGGTTACTAACAGCTTTCGGAATTGATACTGATAGTGATCTTCTCAAATTTAATCAATTAAAGGTACATATATGTATAAATGTATATATATTTTCAATATCTAAAATTTATATGATTCATTTATTCTAATATACACATTTTATGTTTCAGTTCCGCAAAAAACAATTAAAGTTTGCCAAGTCTGGTATTCACGATTGGGGCTTGTTTGCCATGGAACCAATCGCGGCCGATGAAATGGTTATAGAATATGTAGGACAAATGGTTAGACCAGTTGTCGCTGACTTGCGAGAAGCCCAATACGAAGCTACCGGAATCGGTAGTTCTTACCTCTTCCGTATCGATTTAGATACAATTATTGATGCGACAAAATGTGGCAATTTGGCGAGGTTCATAAATCATAGTTGCAATGTGAGTCAATTACAATCATCTATCTTTATAATCTTGAGTGGCTGTGCAATATAATAAATACATTCTCTATATGAAAAAGAATTATAGCCTAAATGAAAATTCAATTTTTGATGAATCAATAGAAAAATATAACCAAAATCCAATATTAATTAATCTGAGAGTGGAAGAGAGGCAAAATGTTTGCCATGTATTTTGTATAGTTACCAAATTTTTATTTCTTTTAGCCGAATTGTTACGCAAAAGTAATCACGATTGAAAGCCAAAAGAAGATTGTAATCTACAGTAAACAACCAATAGGAGTTAATGAAGAAATTACATACGATTATAAATTTCCATTGGAGGATGACAAAATCCCTTGCCTTTGCGGAGCTCCTCAATGTCGGGGTACCCTCAACTAAATTGTTTTTTCTTTTTTCCGTCTTCTACACTTCATCGCGCCCTACTCATATTTTTGTAAATACTTTCCCATGTAAACATTTTATAAAATGCATTGGAAAAAAAATACTAAATTATGTTAAGATGCGTTCTTCCTACTTTATTATTATGAGAGCCCTTTAATACAGTGTGTGATTTTAATATTTGGGAAAACAAATAGAGAACAAATATATGAAGCATCACACACACTATGTATTAAAATTATTTTTCAACATCTCATTTTTTTGTATTTATTATCCGCCACTGTGAACGTTAAATGATAAATATGTATTAAAAAAGGAATAGAACAACATTTGTGTTTAGTGTGCAATCATAAATGCCATTATAAATTATATGTATATATTTTATGTGTATTCTGTACATATATAATTATAACAAAATGTTTATATATGTTCGTATTTTATCGTATATAAGGTATTATATATACAACCCATTCTATAAAATTGATATGAAATGAGAATCCGATTTTGAAAAACTTATTTCCGAAAAACAAATATTTTTCGTCAAACGACCAATCCAATCTCTCAACATTCGAATTCATGTAATATTGGTTTAAGGATCTACAGGGAGGGGGTGTATACGCTATTGCATGCGAAAGTGTAGGTTATGGTTTCCTGCAATTTTCTGAGATTTTCGTCTCTGAACTCTGAATTACTCGTCTGATAAACATTGGTAAATCAGTATGAACAAGGTTTTCATACATTACAAAAACGTGTCTAAAAGATTAAAGTGAAGTGATAGTTCAACAATACATTTTTGAAAAAATGTGTCGAAATATGTAGTGTTTATTAATAACAATTAAACTTTCATTTATTGATCATTGTGAACATGAAACGATATATAAATAAATTGTGAGTTAATAATTTGGCATTATGGCAGATCGTCTGACACAGTTACAAGATACTATAAACCAGGTAATGCAAATTTTATATTTTTGTTTGGTCGTTTATTTTCTCAGAATCTAATTTTATCGGATACATGTTAATGTTTGTTGTTTTAGCAAGCGGAACACTTTTGCAACAGCGTTGGTATTTTACAACAGTATTCTACACCTAGCAAATTTCCTGGTTTTGATCGCATTGGTACTCCACAACCACATCAGCCTCAAGAAGGTAATAATTAGTTCTCATATTAGAACATTGGTATTAAACATACATGGTTTATTTGTTTTAGATTATGCTGCTTTATTTGCGAATCTCATTGCGAGATGTGCTAAAGATATAGATACATTAATAGAGAGTTTGCCAAGTGAAGAATCATCTCAGGAACTGCAAGTAGCCAGTCTTAGTAGACTTGAACAAGAGAATCAACAGGCTGGTGAGCAATTGGAAGAAGTAGTGAGACAAGGAGAAGCACTCCTTCAGCGAATCCAAGCTGCTCTGCAGGATATAGCGCAAAGTCAATTAGATATGCAAAATCCCTCGTCTACCACCGTGATTAACATGAATCTTAACAATTGTAATATAAAACAAGAAACGTCTATAAATTCCGTGCCTTCAAATAACACACATCAACTATCGGATCCTTCACCTAATTCAATAAATCAATGACATATTTATGATTTATTGTAATTATTTATAGTGAAACATTTTTGCAATATATAAATAATCAAATCGGTACTAGTTCGTTTTTTTTTTTTCCATTATAATATTGATTGAGACAATAAATGGAACAATAGTTTACAATTTCATAATATTCCTGTATTTTGGTATAATTGCTTATAGTGAGAATATAAATTTGATGGCGACATAATAAGTTTTAAAAAACAAAAATAAAATTTTTTTACACAAACTATATTATAAAATTAAAAAACAATTTCATCCAGAGAAAATAATAGCTTTAATATAGCTGTTATTGAGTTTTATTGAGCTGTTTTAGGATATATCAGTCCATATGTGCATATGTTTAGAGCTCAGATTCTAGTATCTTACAATGTATATCAATTATGTGAATAATGTAAACGAAATAAAAAATTGGAATTCTTTGGATTGAGATGCTTTGTGTTTTGATTTGTTACCTTATTTCTAATCATATTCTTTTAGGAGGATTATGATATACACCATCTTTAAGAATCTTTGAGAATTTTAAAAATTTCAATTTTTGAACTCATACATTTACTTCCTCAGATACCAGACTTTATTATATGTAATATAGTTTAATAATTCTAATATATGTGCACAATTTCTTTTTTAATACATGCAATATAATTAATAATTCCGTTCTTACGTGCATTCTCTCTCTTTTTCTTGATTGTTAATTTTATTTATTTTTTAAGCAATTGTCTAAACGCTTAATTCAGTATTGTGGGCCTTCAAGTTTATTTATTAATCGATTTATTTATTAATAACACTTTATTATATCGTGGCCATTATAAACAGGTTAAATTAATCCGAATAAATAGAAGTTATATAATTGAAAAAATTGTATCTTTAAAAAAAATGTTCCGAGGATTGATTTGTAGATTCTATTATAAACTTTTTAAATCTAACGACGCATACTGTCTCCAAACTCAACGATTAGGTTACATTAAGTAATTGCATTGATCAATCAAAATTTTACAAGTAGAATAAAATATATTTACTTATATAAAAATACAAAATAGAATAAATTTTTCACAAATATAGAACTTTATTCTTTCATTGAGTTTAAAGATATGAGAGTTTTGATTGTACAATATTTTGTTATCTTTTTTTTATATTCTCTGCATTTTTCTATAAAATATATTTCGATTATTTTATGATGTCTTTTTATTAGTTCACAAAAATTGTCAAGTTCAACGTGGAAAAGATTGGAATGTGGCGATCATAATCGAACAGAAATGTGCATCGATAAACCAACGAAGTGGCCAAGCGGCAAGAGAAGCAATTTTGATTTTCACGATGAAACCGAAGCCGCGTTTAATGAACAGATAAACGTTGAATTGAAAGCATTTTATTCCTACCTATCTATGGTATGCAAACAGTGTAATTTTTTTATTTTTAAATATAAATGTCTATTTTAAATATAAAATAGATAGCCTCTGTAATATATTAACAATAACTAATAATTGCGTTATCTTTATTTCTTATTATACAGGCTGCATATTTCGGTCGCGTGGACGTCGCTTTACCGGGTTGCGAGTCATTCTTCATGCAGATGCATCGCGAGGAACACGAACATGCCCTGAAATTTTTAGATTATGTAAAGATGCGTGGCGGAAAGGTGCATTTATGCGCCGTGTCCCCGCCAGATGATCAAGATTGGAAATGTCCGTTGCACGCGTTCAAAGTAAATTTACAATTTAAAACAGTTTCTATAATTAAGCAAAAAATATGAAATATACACTCCCATTATGTAAATATTAATGAATATTTCAATGATAAATCTTTGCGGTCAATAATTTAGATTCAAGAATCAATATAATTGCATTATAAACATATTTTAGCTGATTAATGTTTCTCTGTATATAAATTTTTTTACAGATGGCATTGCAATTAGAAATTCAAGTCAGTAAAAAATTGGTCGCGGTAAACGCTGTAGCGGAGAAGCATACTGATTTAAATGCGAGTGATTTCATCATCACCGGTTTTATGGAAGATCAAATGAAGAGCGTGAACGAAATGGGAAGATTAGTGACTGTGCTGTCTGGTATCGGAGATCAAGCATTGGCGCGATTCATGTTCGATAAGGATTTACTCGATAGTTACGTCCAGCCAGATTACAATGTTTTGAAAAGTAAATTTCAACGAAAAAAACACGACGAGTAGCTACTTATTCGTCCTTTTTCGAATTTTCGCAGAATTATACCACATTTTCGCATATTTAATATAATGGATATTGAATAATTAATAATGAATACATTTCAAATTTACCGGTATATATATATATATATATACCCAGTCAGCCACGTCTGTTCTAGCCATAGAGTTCCGACTGACAACTTGTCGGGTTCGGACGTGTTTTAGCGTGCTGCGTATGTCCTTTGTTTGGACCTTTTTTTGGACTTTCTCCTCTCCTAAGAGGATTTTTGCTTATATTTTTTCAAATCCATAAGAAACAATGGTGTATGGGCGACTAATGCCCAACCAGCCATAAAAGAAGAAGAGTTCGGAATATTCCCAGTCAGCCACGTCTGTTCTGACAGATATTGCCAAGTGCTTGCTACAAATTATTGTCAGCAAAAAGGCTACAAATTTGGTGCAAGAGTTGTTATTACCGATTAAGCTGGCAGATTGCCGGCAAGAACCAAGCAAAGCTTGCTAACATAGCTAGACAGCAAATTGGCGGCAGAAACCGAGCAAAGCTTGCTGACATGACTGACATCAGATTGTCAGCAAAAACTGAGCAAGATCTGGAGTGCGCAATCTGATGGCAAATTGGCAGCAAAAACCGAACAGAATCTGCAGTTTATTACAAAGTATTATAAAATAGTTCAGTCGCTTATCGCTATGCGGCGCGTTATCCATTATCTATACCCGTATTCAAATTCTTGTCATGAGTGTATATAAAGCCTGCAAAATGCTAATAATATTATACCCATACAGCACAGAACATTGCAGCAACATTGCAACATTGCCGCAATGTTGCTACAATGTTGCAATATTGTTGCAATGTTGCTGCAATTTCTGTGCTGTATGGGTAATATATATATTTCTATCAGTTCAATTTTTGACACAATTCTTATACAGGAAATTCAGATATTGAACTGATTTTTGGCAAATCGGACAGATAATTGTTCGATTTTCACTTATTCGAACAATTTCTGTCCAAAAAGATCTTTAATTTTGTAAATTAAATTATTTAAATTTACTTATACGTTTTAAAACATTAATATATGATTTTATATAACAATACTGTAATTTGTCTTATTTTTGCCATCAAAAGAACGTCAAAAAATGGTCTCCCGTAGATGTGATATATTTTGGGTCTTATGAGACCTAACTTAGGATGTCTAATTATCTAATGGTCATTTTATGACCAAAACTTATCATCATTTTGTTACTTATGGTTGAGACTTTAAATCCATTTAAATATACTATTATATATGAATGGCCAAAAGCTGTAGAATTTGTTCGGTTTTTGCTGACAATCTGCTGTCAGATTGTCTTGCGCAGATCTTGCTCGATTTTTGCCACCAATTTGACGTCAAATTATGTCAAGCTTTGCTCGGTTTTTGCCGTCAATTTGCTGTCAGGTTATGTTAGCAAGCTTTGTCACCAAAACACAAGCTTAATGCGGACACAGATGGCACTGGATTTGTTACCAAGTTTTGAGCGAATTTGATGCCAATTTGGCAACAATTTGTTATCAAATTGCTTACTGGGTATATATATATCAAGCGACGCGAAGTATATGTACATAAAAATACATTTAGGCCGGTATTCATAGTCCGTTCTTATATTCAAGATCGTCTTAAGTACGATCTTAAGATACTATGCGGCCATTTCATTGGTTGACTGGGATCTTAAGACGACCCAAGACCACACTTAAGACGATCTTGGATATAAGAACGGACTATGAATACCGGCCTTAATGCACCCATTAAGGTCATTGCACGTGAAAAAGTTTTATTCGTAATCGTAAGACCGTAAGCAAATCGACCAATCACAATCAAGCATTCCAAAAACGTAATAAAAATGTTTAACTGATTGGTTGATTTGCTTACGACCTTACGGTTACGACTAAAATTTTTTCACGTTCAATGACCTTTATTTTACATACAAGTTTTGTCAGATGTATTGATTGACTGCTATTGCAAGAAATTTTTGAAATCTTAGGAATTCTCTATCCGACCACCAATCAGCACGTTTGACAGGATTCGTATGATAGATGTTAGGTCTGTTTTTTATAGCTGAATTGGTTGCACTAGTTCAGAGCTTATCTTTCTCCTTCCAATGTGGAGAGAAAAAGATAAATTCTAAACTGGTGCAGCCAGTTCAGCTATTTAAAAACAGACCCATAATATTTGCATGTATTACTCTCTTATGCATATATATATAACAAGATGTTAGTGTGCAAGATGGCCGCCATTGTCAGATGTACGAACATCGTCGATCAGTTTGACGGTCGACAGCGGGGTTGAGCGGGGTTAAGGTATTTAATCAAGGTTGCGATTCCTTAATGCTGACAATGCACGATAATTAATCGTGTTTCAGCGTTTATTTAATCCGCATTCTCCCGGAATGTCAGACGTTTCGTTTTCCTCTATACGTAAAATCAATTTCTTTTTTGCGCGATACGAGATTCCTGCGAAGGTCAAATAGAAATACCCGTGATTTTCTTCTGCCACTGTGAATATCTTTATCTATCGGGACACACAGATTATCCCATTCTTTGTTCTCGATATAGTGCTTCGCATAACTAACCTCAAGCCTAGACTCAAGAAGTGAGTCACGTGCCGCGACAGATTATTGGAATCACTTGGTTTAAGATCGAAAACATAACCGCCGTGGGTAAGTTTTAAATAATGGCGAGCGATCTGTCGAGCGGCTGCATGGAGACGATCGACATCCTCGACGACGAGAAAGAGGAGGGTGAGATCTCGTTGGAGGATGTGAGTTCATCCGAGGAGGGTGGGATAGGCCATTTGACCTGCAACTATGTCATCAACAGGACACGATCGTGTCCGGATTGCAAATCATGGGGCGAATGCGCTCCCTGGTGCACCATGATGTGTCATTCTAAGAGCAGGAGAGGTAAAATTTGCTAGATCATATCTTTTGTTCGAGATACACTAGTTATATTTAAGATATAAAATTCTTTTTTTGGATATTAAAATAAATGTTATTTAAAAGAGATAAATACTTTGAGATAAATATTTGTGTATATTTTCCAGATTGTTTAAATTTTCTAGATACATATGTAAAATAGTAAAGGAACAACGACAGTTGTAAAGTCCTTGTACGTTTTAAGTAATTTCCTTTGATTATTGTTGCAGTAGTCTAATTTTGTTCTTATGCGAACATTATTAACTTACAATAAAATTGGATACATCTATAAGGAATTTCTTAAAAATTATTATAAATTAAAACACTCAAAAAAATCTTATTATGACTCGAAAAATATAACAAAAGACATGTGTTTCTCAATAGATATAAGATAGAAATATAAATTTGAATAGAATAATTAAATATATTGCTATCAATATATTGATTTATTGTTGTAATCAAGTAGAAGTTAATCTTATTTTATAAGATCCAGTCAAAGGAAAGGAAAACCGTCATCATGTCAGAGAAGCGGGATGTGCAACAGCAAAACATATAGCGTCAACTTTACAAGAGAAGAATGACGACCTAGTACCTATTTCGAGCGATAGCGATATGGAGATTGTCGGTCTCACGGACACATCTAATCGATCAAAAACCAGAATAAAAAAGAAAAAGAGAAAGAAAAGAGACTACGACATTATTACCATCGATGATTTAATTTCTCCGGCCTCCGTCGATTTGCCTATAACAGAGTTTGGTACGCTGAAAAAAACACATTACAGAGAATTAAGTCCGGTTCGCAGAAGTGGCAGATCGAGAGTGATTTCGAGATCACCAATTCGAAGACACAGGTCACCCGTAAAAACTCGATCACCCATTCGGTCATCTCGATCTCCGTTAAATCATATCAGATCGCCGATGCTGAGAAGATCTCCGCGAAGAGTCAGATCACCGAAACGAATCTCGCCGCATCGTTCGCCGAAACGGAGCTCGCCCCATCGTTCGCCGAAACGGAGCTCGCCGCATCGTTCAGAACCCGTCAGAACCGCAAGAAGGCCGTCGAGACTAAATTCGCCGCCGTCCACTCGTTCTTACGCCAACAGACACGGCAATGTGACGAAATTATTGAAGAAAGTAAAGCAGTCGGAATCAAGTGTCGATCGGACTAAAGAACATCAACCGTCGCTGAAAGAGAAACTGTCAAACATGTTAAAGAAACATCCTGATAGCAATGACAATGCGATGTGTTTTAAGGAGAAAACGAATGCTGAACCCGACATTGTTAACGATGCCGATGACGAGGAAGATTTGGCATTGCTTCGACAAAAGGCATTGGAGACAAAACAGAAAAAGTCTAATAGATCGTCTGATCATGGATCGATGGATGTGGAACTGGAGAAGAACCCCGCTGCGAAGAATGACGATCAGGACGAAGAGGCGTTGCAGCTGCGCATGATCGCGCTTCGTTCGGCGGTCATGAAGAAACATCAGAACCGGGTTCGACGTGGCATCAGAACGAACAAAAAGCCCTCTCGCAGTGAGAGTCCGTTTAATCAGAGTTTCCTCGATGATATACCCGTGCCCGGCGATGAGCTACTGAAGTTCGCGTCACCGCCATGCACACCGTTATATGACAGCAATCACATCGAGGACATGGAGCTAGACACAGACATCGAAGGCGAGAAGGAGGCAGAGTTGCCATATTCACCGACCGATAAGATCACCACGCACGTGCCTATCGATACATCGTTACTTGGCATCGAGCCGTCCGATGTGTCGTTCATCAACGTAAACGAGACGAATAACAAGTCTCCGATCTTCAATGACGCAAAGCGGGTCGAAGGCATGCCGTTGCTGATCACTGACGTCGCGTCGTGTTACGATAACGCTTATTTAACGTCTCACACTTATGAAGCATCGCAATACTATGCATACTCGCCGTCACAGCAGTGTACCGATATCTTCCTCGGTTCGGATTTCAATGATGAACCGGAAGAATTATCCGACCACCTCAGGGACTGTCAGAGCGATGATGTCGTGTGCGACTTGATAGATGGTATTTGCTGCCAAGTCGATTCTTCGACGGGCGTTGCATCGACACAAGTGGCCGATGCGCGCCCGATTCCAGTTCTAACCAGTCTTCTTCCGATTCCTTCCACTTCGCCGAAACCACAGCAAATTATAGAGCAATCTACTGACGATATTCTATTGGCGAATGTAGATTCAACGTTTAGAGAGAACAAGTGCACTTACGAAGCGCGAAAGATTTCCGAATGTCCTCTTACAACGATTTCTCCGACTATGTATGCCGAGCCAGTGTCGAACGAATCGGTGATAACGATCGATGATCTTCCAGAGACGAAGAAGGATTCATTGAGTTCTCTTGTTATTGACAGAAATTTGCCGACTACAGATTATATTTCGAAAGAGGCGGCGTCATGCCAAGCTGTCGAGCGAGAAACGTTGCAGGAACCCCTATACATGCAGGGTGTGCCGGACATTACCAAAGATGCGAATAAGATACCTACCTTAATCAACAAAACGTTGGTTCCCGCGCCTATATTAAGATCGAATAAACGACTTCAGCAACCGTTGCCAATAACGAAAAAATGCGAGACGCATATTCCGGAGCCGAGCTTCAAGAGTGCCGAGATGCAACCGGTGATCGTTACTACGAATGTACAGAGCGCGAAGAACGGCAGCAACTTTAAACCTATAAAATTGCGAGTTGCGAAGAAATCTGCGCCCATTTTAACGGCGTCCGTTGCATTCGATAATCTTACGAACGAGAATTCGGAAAACAACGCATCGGAGACTCAAGGAGGAGGACCCTCTAAAGATAGTTGCGAAGTAATCGAACATTCCGCTACTGCTAACACGGTGCATACAGTAACTGTGAATGATGACGTCGTTTTGGCGCGTAAAAGACGAAAACGCATTAAGAAAGATCGGTCCAAGAGTTTCGGCTGCATACAATTACTCGCCAAGAAACGGAACAACTCGGATGATGATGTAAATAAAGATGTAAATATTAAATTTTCGTCTACCATAGAACGACAAATTACTGAATCTGATCTAAGTGAAAGTAATAATGACAATAAGGCACAGGAGAGTTTAATGGAGAATGAAGAATCGAAATTACAAAATGCCATTGATACCCAAGAATCAATTAGTTGCAGTAATATTACAGTAGAAAATAAAGATGCTGAGAAGAGTGATCTTAGTCCTACGTTATCAGCTCCCACTGAACATTCACAAGAGAGAAATATCGAATCTCGTTTGTCAATAAATTCCGCATCCGACAATCTTGATTCTGATGCATCCAACAAAGCATCCAAGGACGTTGGTAACAGGAGACAAAGTGTCGACGAGGATGAAAATGAACTGCGAGCCATTTTATTAGCCTCTTTGAAACGAACCAAGTTAATAGACATTAATAGTAACTCTTCAGCAATTTCAATTACTACAAATTGTACTACAACAAACACTCAAACATCTATACAGCAAACATTAACAGACACCATATCAATCGCAGCAATTAACTCAACGCAGGCAACAGTGAACAGTAATGTTCCGTTATCAACAAGATTGAGTTCATTGGTAACTCAGGAAAAAAAGATTAATCGCGTATCTAGCTCATTACTCGCGAGCGGCAACAAGAAAAAAATCAACAGCGTGGACGCAGTTAAAGGTCCGCCGAAGAAAATGATGAAAAAATCGGTTATCCCTGCGAGTACAAAGGTGGTGAACAATGCCAAAAAGTATCAAAATATGATAGTGCAGAGGAGATTAAATCTGCGAAAGCTCGATAACAATACGACAAAGTCTAACGAGAACGTGTGGTCTAACGCTAATCCGTCCAAGACGTCGTTGCACGTGTCCGACACTCAGCGATTTGTGATAAGCTTAGGATCCGACACGGACAGCGAGTCCGACGGTGAGAAGCGTAGGGACTCCGTTCTCGTTCCCACTATAGAAAAGCAACAAACACAGGATATTAGTGCTGACTTCGAGCAGAGTTTGCACAAATTTCTGCGCGACATGAGAAAGGAACAGGAACAATCCGCTGTGGCAATCGTGACCAAACCTGTGACGACACGAGACGCGCCACTAGTGACTAAGGGTTCATCTAATATGCATACGCCATTGGTAAGGCGACCTTTTATATTACATTTGATTAATTTACATCGGCGAGAATAATTCTTGTATTTATTCGAAAAAAAAAATTATTTAGATATACTATTTTTATTATTAAAAGACGAACTGTTTGCAGAAACTTACCTACTTTGTTCTGTAGGCTTTTCTATTTTGTTGCAGGCTGTGAGGCATCTTCCTGCATCGCAACAAGAGGAATATCGTCGTTTGAAGCAAGAAATCTTAGAGCGCGAGAAGCTGAAACTACAAAGAAAGGTAGCAGATAATAATAATGGCGGTAGCAATAATAAATTATTAAATACTAATACAGCGAGTTCGCTAATAAAATCTCTATCATCCTCTGAAAAGAAAAGTATGCCCATTAAACAGAATTCAGATAAATCAACAGAATCGGAAAAAAATTCTCAACAATCTTCAGGGGAGAGCAAAAAGAAAGATATCAATGCGGCAAGAAATTCATTAATATCAAATGTATTTCATACGCCTGCAAACAGTAATCTCTCATTGAATGTTGATAAGCATACTAATTCTGCGCATTCATCAGCTAAAGGAATTAAGAAAACGATACCGAATAATCTCAGCATTCGTATTACTAATGAGATTGCGCCGAATCACACGGCAGTGGAAAGTAGAACGGTTGAGAATTCGTGCGAAAAGCAATCCGCGAATGATAAACCACAGAATAATAGACCTGCTCTGAGAGCTTTAACTAAAGAAGAAATAAACCGCAAGTATGTCCAAGTTTTGTTAAAATCAGATATAAGCGGGCGAGTCGTTACTATAAACGATAGACCAGCTTTGCGACACGATACGACAAACGTCAATCAAAGCGAGAAACCAGTCGGAAATGATGTTAGTATAGAGATTTTAGAGGAAAGACAAAGAAACAATGAAAATAGTAACAACACTAGCGTGTTTTCCAACGCGTCTACTGTAAAGCTTTCGGACTTCGCCGCCAACACGAGCAAGCCAGAACATGAAGATATCATGATGGAGGCTACAATGTCGCTTTCCCAATATGAGGCAGAAAGACGAGAAATTAATTGTAATACTTCAATGTCGCTATCTTCAGAAAATAATAGTAATAATGCTTTCCATAAATCTGATTCTGAAAATGTGGACAATAAAGGTAATACAGATGACGTTTGGGATGCGCTTAAAAAAGATGTTAAAGAGGAATTGGATTCTTTAATAAATCTTCCAAAAACAGAGCAAGAGCGATATTTGAGAGATACCGAGCATAAATTAGTTGCGAGACGGTAATTATACACTTAAATTTAAACATATACACAGAAAATAAGTAATAATAATAGCAACGTGATAAAACTTTAAATTGTATATGTGTGATGTGTAGGTATACGGTCTTAGATCATTTGGCAGAAATGTCAGGGAATCTTCGTCAGTGGGACATGGAGAAGGAATTGCAGAGTAGTCTGGCCAGTGAAGTGAGGAAACTTAAGGAGCAATTGAAGATGGCCGAGGAAAGATTACAATTGCAGCGGGATCGCGTTAATAGTATGGGGCCAAAGGTTTCGACCGCGCGCCAAAAGATTAATGCTGGACGGCGCGAATGTTTTAAATTATCGAGAATTTGTTCGACTTTAGGTAACCGGCTCATGGGGAAAATTTACAAGTACGCAAGTATACAAATTACAAACATGGCATATCAAGAAACATGGTAATGTCACGCGCAGCAGCGAGGCATTTCGTGTATCTACAGCTTTATATTTATAAATATAAATAATGAAAAGCATCCCTGTTTTGCTTTTTTGTTTGATACACAAAAGATATCTATTTATACATTTTCTCTTTTACATCAAATTTATAGTTCTTTTATATGTATGATTTTTATATGTAGATATATATTATATACTTATATATCATATATTAAATTATCTTACATTATATATGCAAACAAAGAAATAATAAACTTATGTTTTTTTTTATGTTTTATTCCGATTATGAAAGGATTGTTCTTTTAGATTACCAGAGGCAGGAGGTCAACTTTTGAGTGATAAACTTAAGGAAGTTGCTAATCACACCCGTCAATTTACTAAAAAGAAACGGATCCAGTTTAATGATGCCTCTGAAAATTCAAATTCTAATTTGTTGCGCCAAATCTCAGAATCATCTAAGGACACACGCGTCGAAGAAGACCTATCATTGCAAGAACAGCCAGTGAATGATGCAACTGATGTAGCTGGATCAAAAAACGACACTTGTCACTTGAAGCAATATAGTGACGGTGGAAATTTATCCACATCAGAATCCTCTTTTACATTAAATCTTTCGCAAACGTTTTTAAATCAATTAACACCTGCGAAGAGAAAAGAAACGTCAACAAATGCGTCAGAGCTTCATAACGACGACCAAGTTACGCCTCCTAATCAAGATGCTTCTGAACCAAAGCTGTACCAAAGTACTCCTGTAGAACAAAATAAGAAACATAGACAAAGAAGCTGTAGCACACATGATCCTATTACATCTTCAGAACTAGGATCGTCATCGACAGATCCTTTTTTATGTCAAGATAGTGAACAAAATAATAAGAAAATGTTACCATCACCGCCGTTATCGATGTCAACGACGAAGACGACAGAAACAACGACGACAACGACGACAACGACGATGACGATTGCGCCTTATGAATCGATATTATCGCATTTAAAAATACCAAGGTGGGTCTTTCTCTTTAGATGTAAAGATTGTCACAATATTATATTGTTAATTTTCTGTATAAATTGTGCTAAAAATCATGACAATTTTGTGTGGTTTCTGTTACTCTTCTTACCAGGAACACAAACCCCCACGGAATCTTGTGTCCGTATGAAATGATGGGCATTTGCAGGGACGAAGATTGCCAATATATTCATCAATCGAGGAATCAAACCTGAAATAATGCATTACTACTGAATGCACTTTTTCATCATGATATACGTAAGGTGGTTCTAATTTCTCAACGTCAATGTGTCAATATGCGAATTGTACATTTAAATTAACAGCTCGTCGAAAGTATCAAAGATGTTCGAATTTGAAAATATTATAATTTCGGGAATTTAGTTCCGTGGCTATCCTGTGTTTTCTTTAATCGCAAATTATATCCAATATGCATTTTATATATTTATATAATTAGAAATATAGTAAGCCGCGTGTATAACGCTAAGTAAGAATCGTGAAAAATATTATAGCGTTTTGAAACGCGTCAAATATGCAGGTTGCAAAAGGTTCTATTACAATGCGAATTTTTCTTATATTTTTATTGTATATTTTATTGTGATAGAATAGCAATACTCGTAATGAAAAGTAGCTTTAATCGTCTCCTTCAAACAAATGTCTTTGCTTTCGCATTTACAGGTATCATCAATTATTATCAGGGAGATATAAATAACGATGTAGATGAGATTACATTAGTTAAGCAGAGGCAGCACCTGAAGATCGGTAAGTTCTCTTCATCCATGGCAGACTCTAGTGCATACAATCCTAAAAAATTACCATTTTATAAAAAAAACTTATATTTTATGCGTAAGACTTTTTTTCATTGTGCTACTATGAAGCAGCGCAACTGTATTCTGTTGAAAATTCAGAGAATTTTTACAAGTGTATATTTTTTAAAATTATAAGAAAAAAAAGTGTTATAAACTACAAGAGTAATCAGTGCGGTAAAGACAGAAGAAGAGTCTGTTTACAATACTAAGAAGAAATAATATTTGAAAAAGAAGACCCATTTCAGCAATTGCAGATCATCATTGAACAATTGCACCAGTTACTCTTACTTCGTACTTTGATATATAAGTTACCTCATAATAACTAATCTTGTATCTGTATAATAAAAGTTGAATATTTTTTCTTATCTAGAGTGTAAATTTATTTATAATTACATATTTTCCTACTTCTTTTGTATATATAAGTTTCCTCTAAAGTATAATTACTAAAGTATAATTATTACTTTGATTATAATTCTTGTATAATTGTATCAAAAGATAAAATTCTTAATAATTAGAATTAATAATGGAGTAATTATTTTAATAATTGTCTTCATCGTTTATTCCATTTCTCAAACATTACAATATTTTTTATTTTTATTCAAAATCTTTCAAAAGAGATCTTTATTCGCCATATTTATTACCGGGGAAAGCACCTTGTGTTCTGTATTTGTGCCAAGGTAATCGGCCTGTAAGTCTAAGTTCATCCCAATGCTGCACCCAGCCGTTTGGACAAATAGATGTAAAAACATCCTTAAACCACGTACATGCTTTGGAACCTTCGCCTAAGATATGCTCGCACCGGTAAAAATCAGTATACATTACGAAGCATCGTTGCGTTTGATTTTGCTGTTGAAATCTGATTAAAAACTTGATTAAGAACGCACGATATACACCCAGATCCTGAATTAATTATTAATGTGTCTTGTATAATTATGTATATACCTTGGGTCGTTGCCAGGATTATATCGAAAATCTGGAAATGCCTGGAATTCTTCCTCTATTTTTTCTTTTCCTTTGAGGCAAGGATCATCCTCATCCACGACAATAGTTATTTTCTTTTTTAATGGATTATCCATTTTCTCTTCCATTTCCTGTTTAAATAATGTAATAATATATTATGATGTTGACAATTCTATTACATATTTTAAAACATTTTTTTTAAATCGTCGAGTGCTCCTGTCATTAAGAACGCACGATATACACCCAGATCCTGAATTAATTATTAATGTGTCTTGTATAATTATGTATATACCTTGGGTCGTTGCCAGGATTATATCGAAAATCTGGAAATGCCTGGAATTCTTCCTCTATTTTTTCTTTTCCTTTGAGGCAAGGATCATCCTCATCCACGACAATAGTTATTTTCTTTTTTAATGGATTATCCATTTTCTCTTCCATTTCCTGTTTAAATAATGTAATAATATATTATGATGTTGACAATTCTATTACATATTTTAAAACATTTTTTTTTAAATCGTCGAGTGCTCCTGTCATTTTTAGATTTCCTTTTGTTATTTTTCAATTGTTTAAATCTTCGTAAAATTATATATATCTTAATAAATATAATTAAATCAGCATTTTTTATTGACATGTGAAAAATTGATGTATAAAGCATTATAAAAAGATTTCATAAAAATAGCATACACAATACACAACATATAATTAATCACAGCTAATATATAAGGCTATATCCGTTTGTTATTTTCTATATCTGTGATTGGAGTTTTTTCAACATGTGAATTAAGTAAATCTATATCGCTTTAAATATAACTATGCATTATACAGTAATATATATTATATATATATATAACGCTTTACCAAAAAGATAACTGTAATATTATTACAATCGCGATAATAAACGCTAACACGTAATTAACGTGTTCAATGCGAGAATTAAGTTTATACTTAATTAGATATAAAATTATTTCCAGCGAACACACTGTGGTAAACAAAATCTAGCGAGAGAGATGTATGTTATTTTTTTTAATATTATACGCCAAGCGATAAAATATAATATATAGGCATATATAACATATGAACAATTTATACGTGATTCATATATAAATTGTATGTATTGTCGTTGTTCTAAGACTAAACGCACATATATCCGCTTTTATGATTCTTTTATATAGAACTGTTGGGAATATTATCATTTCTTTCAAACTATAAAAAATCATATTACACATTTTATGTTCAATCATAAGAGACAGATTATCGATAGAGTCCATAAAACCCTAAGAATACGAAGTCTGCATGTAACAAATTTATAGACTCTTTCGCCTAATAATATAATAAACGCGCTTATATAGAAAGAGCTGTATCTAACAACCAATAGTAATAACTTGTTAATAGTAATCTTTCGCGACACAAAATCTTTTTCCAAAAATTTCATCCCATTTATATTGTTTATAGAAAAAAAAATATATATATATAATTTAATATTGAGAATATATTTTATAATATTATTTCTTATCCACTTGAAATTTCGATTATTAAAAGGCACTATTTAGGTCCCAATATTAGTCAATTAATCGACATAATTTTTATTATCATCAATGCAACATAATCAATTGCAGTTAAAAAAAATGGCAATATCGATATTTACCAAATTATTATAAATTTTTTTATTATATATGTATGATATGTCATATGTCAGTGCATTGACCAAAGAAGAAATATTTGTCGATAGGACCAGCCTTTCTTCGATTAAATTTTGTGTGCGTGTGTGTGAGAACTAATAGCAGTAACAGTATAAATGAGTTCTATATCTTGTGCAATTATCTCAACGATGAAAGATAAGGTTGGCAAGTCATGCGCTGCACAGGCTGATAGAGTCTTCTTTGTACTGGACTGGCGGTAATGTTATCGATGTTTTGTGCGAAGTTGTAGGTATTGGAATTTCTGGACAAATCACTGGAACCAATTTCCGTGGGACGGTTCTCCTGGAGAGGAGAATCGTTTCCGGCTTGAGATTGCGTAGCAGCTTCGTTCCTTTTGCGAAATTTCGTCGAATACTTGTAGAAGTCCGACATCTCGAAGGGCTTCGTCACTTCTCTGTATGGCTGATATTTTCCCGGTTGCACAACCGTGCAGTTCTGCGGTGAACCCAATGGCGGTCGTATCGCATCATCACAAACGTCCAAAGACGGTTTCGATTCGGCCGGTATCTCCAGCACCTTCGGTCTCGTTGCAGACTGATCGTAACGAGCGTGCGATTGTACTGCGTGTTGCCGGCACTCCTCGGACTTGTCTCTCTTGTGACGATTTACTGGACTCATAGTAGGCAGCGGCCCACTGCTCGTTTGATTGTCCCTCTTGTTTTCGTTAATGACTGTCTTGATACGAACTGGCGGAGGACTCGATTGATAAGCAAGCGTATTCTTATGGGGAGCAATCAAATTGCGATCCAAGCCCGCACTCGCTCCTGAATCCACGGATGTTTCGTACCATTCCTTCTGACGACTCTTACGATTATTATTATTATTATTAGCATATTCCGCGGTCGGCGCGTCTTTGCCGTCGTGCGAATCGTGAGAATAATTCGATTGCCACGTCTCCACACTTCCCAAAGATTGCGTACGTAGCAGCATTTTGTTGTGGTTATTGTTCACCAACGGCATTTGTTGTTCGGCCAATGGCAACAGATGAACAGAGTGGTGCTGATGGGACGACGCGATGATGTTGCTGCTAGTGGGTGAGCCTTTGACGCCCGTCACGGCGACCGTGCGATAACGTGATTGTACGTCCGAATTTGCACCACAGCTGTTGTGATTTCGCCGCCTGCGGTCCAGACTGCCGAATCTATCGGACTCGTCAATGCTCACCCAGTGAATGTCGTCGTTGTGACGCACCCAGTAACCAGATAGCAGTTGCGTTTCGATTGACGCACTGCTGATTGCAGTGTGTCGCGGGACATTCTTACCACCAGATGAAGATGAGTCGCGGTCTCGCCTCAATAAAGGCTGAGATTGCGTACTATTTTTGTAATAAATCTGGTAGTCAGTGATAGGCGTATAATATGACGCGCGAAAATCTTTCTCGTAAATTCCTTGGCTCGTTCTCCGTACGATATCCGCGTTATCCAAGTGCTTGTATTCGATGGAACCTGTATATTGCGGCCTGTGACTCTCCTGTAATTGCTGTTGCTTCTGTTGCAAATGCTGGAATTGCCGATAGCGCATTTGACGCTCATCCTCGGTATAGGTATTCGGCACGTAAGGTCGATAAGTTCTCTCAGTGTCCGGATAGTGGCCCCTGGACCCACCGCTTCCGTGAGAATATGTACGAGCGCGGTATTGATCCGGCAAAATATAGATGTTGTGATTATCGTTGTGATCATACTCGACGATCTTAATGTTTGGATGATCGACAGGGCTCGCACCGGGATAAGTACCACTGTGATGGTGATGATGATTGCAGATGTTCGGTACATTCGACTGCTCCTCGTAACCGAGTCCGGAATACGTATTGGGTTTGTCTAGAATACATTTGTCTTCAGATCCTAATGGACTCAGACTGATACCAGGTTCATGGAGTATACCTCTTCCAGCAAATTTTGGAGTAGTTACTTCGTTTCCTATTATATACGATTATGTGTCACACATTAAAAGTGTCACATTATTCGTTATAACATTATTTAAAAATGTAATTAGTGGTTTGAAAAATACCTGTACTATCTAATGGTGGTCGTGGTTTCTTCGTCCTGTGTTTTACGTTAACGTGCGAATGCGGTTGCGTATTATAATTTCCCGTATGGATCGGTAATTGCGCCGATCGATGGGTTTTTCCACGGCTCTGCCTTATAAAGTTCAATTCTGTCTCTAACTCTTGTAACCGTCGCTGACTTTGCTGATAAGCAAGTCTATGCTTACGTCGTGTAGCCTTGCTCTCTGTAGAATCATTAATAATACTCAATGCAGTTTCCACAATTCCGAGTTGTACCTGCCTCTCCAATTCCAATTCTGACTCTTCCTATGGATGAACAAAAACGATAACCAATATAACATATTTATCGATCATTATAAAAAAAAGTTATATATATCAGTTTTAAAAAAAAAAAAATCTTACAACATCGACTGTCTTCAGTACATTAACTGATTTTTGTGGATATATTAATGTAACGCCTTTCCTATGAAAAATTGGAGGACTTTCTCCAGGCTCCAGAGGTATTTCTGGAGGTAAAACTCCCGTTATCTCTGCCTCTTCCACGCACAAGTTTTTCAATTCACTATTTTTTTGAGCAAGCTTCTCTTGTAAGGCCTCTCGACGCTGACGTAGCCATTGTAGTCTTGCGGATAATGCGTCATCTGCCAAGGCACTTGGCGCATTTTCGTTTCCTGCCATCACTAAGCAATTGTGTCAAAGAATAATTTCAGTATTGTTCTCAACTACTAAATTATCAAAGGTTACATTGTGTCAGTTATACTCACCCATATTATTGGAAAAGAAAAAACAAATGGGTCAGCTATAATCTCTTCATATACTTTGATCAATGTATTTACACAATGGCATATTCTAAATTATAATGCCATTTTGTGACTCAACAATTAAAGTATATTAAAAGAGGATTTTTAATTCTTGAAAAAATCAAGCATACTTTCTTCATACATAAACATACTCAATAGTCAACACAGTAAAAATCACCAGTATACCAGGAATTTCTGCAACATAACGAAAAGTTATTTATAACACTCAGGTGCATTGCAGTCTGCAAAGATGTGTCGATTACTTCATCAATTTATAGATATGTCAGTCATCTGCGTTTGATTATAAGATATACAAAATATAGCTTGAATCTTGCAATAGTGACTTTTGACAATTAAGTCACACACACAAATTTATTTTAATCAAAATTTAAATAAAATGGGTCAAGCTAAACATTTACCAACAACATAACTGACGCCGAGAACTATCTTATTTTTTGGAGCCTTTCTTTGAAACTTATTAGAAAAGTATCGACGCTTTATATCTGGCCTTCAATGATGTAACAGAATATATGCATAAAAACAAGAACAATCGAAAAATATATACGACTTCAACTTTGCAAGTTCGAGTCACGTATTTTTTATGTCTGTATAAACACTTAAGTATCTTTTTTATTACAAGAGATAATACTACTAACTTTTTCACCAGCATTAGCTGCAACTGCACCTTGTCCCTTGTCGGCCCCTTTGCCTTTGATGAGCATTCGGTCAAAACGAAGTGCGCACGCGCAAGATAAGTATGCTGCATAGACATATAAAATACATAGACGAGCCTATCTATATCGTGAATCACGACAAAGATTTCTTTATTCTGATTGGTCAATTAAAACAGTCATAGAACACGGTCGATTTGGCGCTACAAACGCTTCGTAACACTTCTCATAATTTTTTATATTTATAAGATTTAAAAAAAAAAAAAAAATTTTTTATGTGTAAAATATTGTCAGAAAAAATGCTGTCAATTTGAACAGAGTACATAATGATCAGGTTACAGTATATTTTTCGTGCGTGTTCTCGAATTTAAAAGTGCGTCGAGAGGCGGAAACGACGCGCCTGATGAACGGGAGAGTCAACGGTGGTCAACGGTCGGATCACGATAACAACACAACAACGACGACGACGTCGTCGTCGTCGTCGGGTTCATCGCGCGACAATGACGACGTCGGAGGTAATACATGGGGACTCGTTGTGGAACGTTCGCTACCACTTGCTGGAATCGACGTGCGCGATTGATCGATGTCGTAGCTGCGATGCGCGCGAGGCTGTGTCGCCGAGCGACAGCCGAGACATTAATCAAGCCATCGGTTGACCGAGTGGATAAGCAGCGCGAGCGCGCTTAGCTTATCTCTAGACACGCTTCTTCCCTCGTGTCATCCGAACGAGCGCGAAGAAAAGGTAAGAAGAGGGAAAGA